AGATCTACATTGTTACAGTTGGTAATGGAAGTGGTCTGAGAATGCAGGTTGTAAGGTGAGAATTTGGGATGGTGTTAACCACTGACTGGCAATGAAGATCCCAATTGAGCAGTATGTGGGGTATGGATAGTCCCTGGCACAAGGTGGCAGCCCAACTGCTAAACATTTTTCTGATGGAAAATGTCCAGGTGAAAAGGAATGCCTGTGCCAGCGTGCTGACTCAGGAGTCTGAAAAGTATAGAGGGGACAATGCGTACAAGGATAATGAAATTGGCTGGCTATTACCAAGTTGCACTGACCTTCCCTGTAGAGCGATAATGAGAAATTGAGAGGAGTTAACAAAGAGCTAAAAACTAAATGTGAGAACCTGAGGACCTCTTAGTAGCTTGCAAAGAGGTCTTTCTCCTGCTGTGCAAGAGGAGACCCAGCTGAGCACAGACTGACAATCGAACTGTTAGAACCCAGAGCTTCAGAGATGTTCAGTCAAGAAGGTATCCTATGCTAAAGTCGGGGATTTGGTTGGAAAATCTTGGGACCTGAAATATGGGACAGGGACACTTAGGTGGTTGTCCCTGAGTAATGCAAATTCCCTTGGGTCCCCAAAGGGAGCTCTGCAAATTCCCTGGGGTCCCCAAAGGGAGATTACAGAAGTGGGCTCCCTATTGAGAACCAGCAGTTCCCCTACGTGGGAAAATACTGAATACACAAGAGCCTTTTGATAAAAACAAAACAAAACAAAAAGCAACAGGTTTCCCTCTGGAAAATACCTCCCACGTCCTCCTGTGACTTTCAGGTTATAACCCGGGTCAACTCTCAGTATAAACTGGCTGAGTTTATGCTGGACCTCATAAAGGAGAAAGGAATTTTACTTTAAAGGAGATGCAAGAATTAACTACATCATGGAGAAACTGAACCCCCTATACATTGCTAGTAGAAATGTAAAATAGTGCAGCCACTTTGGAAAACAGTGTAGCAGTTCTTCGAGAGGCTAAACAGAGTTACCATAAGTCCCAGAAATCCCACTCCTAGTATATATCTAAGGATTATGAAACAAAAACTTGTACATGCATATCCATATCAACACTATTCGTAATAGCCAAAAAGTGGAGCCACATGTCTATCAGCCAAGGAGTGGACACAATTTTGACCTGTGCCTTTCCTACACCAAGAGTCCCAGCCAGTGCCACTGTCTGGGGGCTTGCAGAATACCTGACCCTCAGGCATATATTCTCATACAACATAGTATCTGGTCGGGGGACCAACCTCACAGTGAAGAAGGTGCAGGGGTGGGTCACAGTTATGGAAACCAGCAGTCTTATCCCATACAATGCCAACCCGAAGCAGCTGGCCTCCTAAAGGATAAGAATGGCTTGCTGAAGGCACAGTTGTAATGCCAGTTTGGATGCAATGCTCTGCAAGGACAGGGACACACCCATAAAGATGTATTCGTAACAGACATGTCTAAAATAGCATTGTGTTCCCAAGTAGGAAGAATACATGGGTATGGGAACCAAGGGGTAGAAGTAGAAGTGGCCCACTTATTATCACTTTGATCTACTGGGGACTTTGTTTTCTTCAACCTTGAAAGTCTGGGCTCTGTAGGATTGGAGGTCCTGGTCCCCAATGGGGTGCTCTCTTTCTGTGGGCACAGCAAGAGAGATTAAACTATAAGCCATGGCTGCCATCAGGGTACTTTGGATTCCCTGTATTTGGGGACAAGCAGGCAAGAAGAGAGTTTCTAACTTGGCAAAGAAATTGACCATTCTCAGGAGGAAGAATGCTAGGCATCTTCTCAAAACTGTGCAATGGCACCGACTTTCACTTAGAGTAAAAGTTTACCAGATCCTGCATAATCTGGCCTCTGTTACCTTTCTGATCTTCCATTTACTCTCTCCCTTGCTCTCTCCACTGTAGCCATGCTGGCCTCGCTGCTGTTCAGTGAGCACATAAGGTACTTTCAGGGCTAGGGTCTTTCATCCAGCTTCACCAGGTCTTTCATCCAGATGAAAGGAGCCAGGAAGACTGCAAAATGCAGAAGGAGCTCAAATGAGAAACGAAAGGTAGGTGAAATTCTAGATAGTTATCTAATTACCCTGATTTGTAGAGCTGATTGCTGAGTTGGACTTTTAACTCTAATTTTCAACACAAGCCTCCTCATCTAAAGATTTCTCATAAATATTTTCTACTTACTCTTTGATTAGTGGCCAAAAATAAAGTATATAATGAATTGAGTGAGAAGAATGTTCTTCCTGTAAATTGATACAGTTCTGTCTTTGATAAGGATTACAATAGACCTATTTTTGAGATATGTTAAATGTCAGGTCCCAAGCAAAGCCTTTTACATACTTTGTCTTGTTTAATCCTCATAAAACCTCTAAGAAGAAAGTATTATTATTCCCATTTCTCACATAAAGAAATAGAGGCTCAGAAAGATGAAGTAATTTACTTAGGGCATATCTCTTCTAAGTGGCCAACTTTAACTATAGCTCTTTGTTTTTTTTGTTTCCAATCCAGGGTCTAATTCTGTCACCCAGACTGTAGTGCAGTGGCACAGTCACAGCTCACCACAGTTCTTGGACTCAAGCAATCCTCCCTCCTCAGTCTTCCAAGTAGCTGGGAAATACACAACACCATACCCAGCTGAGCTTTAAATTTTGTAGAGATGGGGGTCTCACTCTGTTGCCCAGGCTGGTCTTGAACTCCAGAGCTCAAGCAATCTTCCTATCTTGGCCTCCCAAAGTGCTGGGATTACAGGCATTAGCCACCATGCCTGGTGCACAGCTCTTCCTGAGTCTAAAACCTGTATTATTTTCTCAACAATACGCTTCCCCTGAAGAGAAGGAAGTAATGATTACTTCATTTATTTATATATTCATTAATTCAATAGTGTTCGCACTAAGTGTTTATTATGTGCAAGGCCTTTGCTTAACTTTGCTTACACAGTCGTGAACAAATAGGTTCCTTACCTTCAAGGAGTTTATAGTCTAACAGTGTAACAACAGGACCACGAATCAAAGGAATTCAGATCTCTGAAGGGCAGGTGACATAGCATGTACCAAGATGGACTTTTGAAAGAGACAAACAAAGGTTAACTCTGACCTAAAGTCTGAATACATATTATGCACAGTAAATATATTAAAAAACTTTAGTTAAGGCATTGACCTCTGGCCTCATCAATTTTGAAATAGGTATAGTTATAATAAGTTTCTTGCCAACTGATCATAATCACAAGTGAGAAAATGTGTGAAAGGCCTTGGCAAACTGTAAAACAGTCAACAAAGAGGAAAGGTTTTTTCTTTACATTAAAAAAATTGAAACATAGTCAACAGGAAGAAAGGTCTTTTCCCTTTTTCCCTCCCTCCTTCCTTTCCTTCCTTCTCTTCCCTCCCTCCCTCCCTCCCTCCCTCCATCTTTTTTTTCTTTCCCTTCACATTCTCTCTCTCTTTCTAGTTGGGGTCTGCTCTGTTGCCCAGGCTAGAGTGCAGTGGTATTATCTCTGCAGCCTTGACCTCCTGGGTTCAAGAAATGCCTCAGCCTCCTGGGTAGTAGAGACTATAGGCACATTCTGACATGCCCAGCTAATGTTTTGTAAAGAAGAGGTCTCAAATTCCTGGATTCAAGCAATCCTCCTGCCTCAGCCTCCTAAAGGGTTGGGGTTACAGGCATGAGCCACTGTGCCCAGCTAGGCCTTCTCTTTACATTAAACAAATTTCAAACATATACTAAATTAGAATAATGCAATAAACACCCAAAGATCCGTCAACCAGCTACAATTATCAATGCATGGACAATCATACTTCATCTTTAGCCAAATGCCCATTACCCATTTTTTGGAAAGGAAATCCTTGACAGCATATTTTTAAAAAATTTATATGTCTATATACATATTTCAATATATATGCCTCAAAAAGGATTCTTGTAAAAAACATAGGCACAAATATCATTATTACTCCTAAAAGCCCAAAAACAAAACTTACAGTAATTTAGTTCAGTGGTCAAATTTCCCTGATTAGTTCAAAAAATTTTAAATCAATAGGTTTGAGTCAGTATTTAGATAAGGTTCACATATTGCAGCAGGTGGCTATGTCATTCTTAATCTGTAAGCTTCTCTTTCATCTTCGTTTTGTTTTGGTCTTGCATTTTGTTTGCTCTGGAAACCGTAGAACAGCGTGGCTCTTAAACATTACTGTGCATCAGAGCTTGTTAAAACATGGATTGCTATGTCCTGTCTCCAGAGATTCTGATTTAGTATTGCATTTCTAACAAGTTTCGAGGTGGTGATGCTGCTGCTGGTCTGGGATAACACTCTGAGAACCTCTGTTATACATATTCCACAGTTTAGATTTCCCTAACTGCATCCCTTGGTAATGTGTCCTTCAACATATTCATCTCCCTCTATCCCCTATTAAGGGAAACTTATTTAATTGCCTACAGTACAGCATAATGGTTAAAACTCAGGATTTGAAGTTCGATTCCCTGGGTTTCAATCTCGCTTTTAACATTTATTTGTCATGTGATCTTACGCAAAGTCGCTTAATTGCTGTGAACCTAATATTACACGATCTTTACGAGGAACAAATGAGATTTTTAAAAATGTAGTGCTTAGCATTGTACTCTGGCACTTAGCAAATGCTCAACAAATTTGATTGTCATTTTTTTTTCTTTTTTTTGAGTTGGAGTCTCACTCTATTACCCAGACTGGAGTGCAGTGGCTGCTCCCGGCCACTGCAGCCTCGACCTGCTGGGCTCCAGCGATGCTTCCGCCTCAGCCTTCCAAGTAGCTGGAACTACAGATGGATTGTCATTTTTCAAATAAGAAATCTTAAAGGGGCTCACGGCCTGAGTGTTGTAGAATTTTTGCTGTGTTCTGCCGTATTTTGACGTCAGCAGAGCCACGCAGGAGCGCACCAAAGAAGCACCTGAAGAAAACTGAAAAGTGCAACTCTCGGGGCTACTTTGTGAGTCTGTCCAAGATCCTGCCTCTTTAAGGAGACCGGAGTCACGTGACCCGTCGGGTCACATGGCCCGCGGGACAACATGGCTGCGCCCGTGCTGCGGCTGGCTCGTGGACGCTGCCCCGAGCCGGGTCGCCTTCTCTTGCTGCATCTGCTCTTGCTGCTCAGCGGGGCGGCGAGGAGCGAGGAGGCCGGGTCCGGTGCGGGTGCCGGGTCCCTCGCGGGTTCCTGCGGCTGCGGCACGCCCCAGCGGCCTGGGGCCCAGGGCAGTTCGGCGGCGGCGCACCGATACTCGCGGGAGGCTAACGCCCCGGGCCCGTTCCCCGGAGAACGGCCACTCGCGCACTCCAAGGTGCTCCCTCGATTCCTCGGAGGCGGGTGGGGGTTTTCAGGTTCCCTGACTGGGTTGGAACCGGCAAGGCAAAGAGTTGGCAGGAAGTCAAGTAAAGGTTATAGCCACACCCCAAATCGAGCACCTGCTGATTCCGTTTGAGAAGCTCCTTCTCCGTCCCCTACCGGAAGACGGCCGGATCTTGGATTTCCAGAATTCTGGGCGTTGGGGAGTTTGGGGAGTTGTTCTATCGTTATTTACTTCTGACCCTTTACTTCCTCCCTCCACTCCTCTTGATGAAAATCTCAGATTTTAAAGTCAGATTCGGGTTTAAATCCTCAGATCCTCTTTTATTAACTGTGAAGAAGTCAAGACCTTGAGTCTCAGTGTCTCAAGCATGGTTGTATACTTACTTATATGAAGTCTTCTCCAGTAGATTGTTTATTAGGGGCAAGAATTTGTATTATTTATCCAGTTGTTCTTAGAACTTTTGCACATAGGAAGGACTAAGCCAACTATAGTTGCATATTATTGTTATTTACCTATGTCTTGCACAGTGCTTGGATGTGTTAGGTGCTATGATGTATAAATAACAACAGTAATGCAACTGTAACTTCGTTCTGCCTGCCAGGTACTTTGCATATTGGTGTGCTTGTGGAAACAACTTATGGGACTGGAAGTCAGGTCTTCTGACTCTTAAACTAGTGCTCTTTCTTGTATATTTAGTATACCCTGGCCTTCTTTTTCCATCTCACTTTTCTTTGCTCTGGGTTGATTCTGACCGATGTGCAGGGCTTAGGTTAGAACTAATGCACATCAGGGCTTACTTGACCTCTTTCCCTTCTCTGTTCTTCAGTATTTTCATGTCTGCCACAGTAGTACATGTTTATCCTGATGTAGCAATTATTAAAGATGTTTGTTGATGTCTCTCTCCAACTAGGCTGTGAGGGTGATGTGTGTGTGTGTGTACGTATATATACATATACATATGTATATACATATATATACACACGCACTCTTAGGTGTAGCATGTAGGAGGTTGGTAGCTGGGCTTTTCATTTTTCTCCATCCTGTGTAATTTTTGACCTTTAAAACTTTTTTTTTGTTACTCCTCTGAGGATGTCCTGCATTATTAGTGTTTATCTTTTGTGTAGTAAGGAGTCCTGATTACTGACTTTGTGTGTATTGGCCATACTTGATTTTAATTCCTCTCTGATTTACATGAAAATTGGGCACCAGTCTCTCCTTTCTAAGGAGAAAGCCCTGAATCCATTACATCTATTTTATAACAGGGCAGCTGTCCCATTTACATATACACATTAGTATATCTCAATTTTGTACCTAGAACTTTCTGACCAGTACTAAACATTTCTCACTTTTAAATACTCCATCTTCCTGTAGGTTCCAGAATGGGATATGGGTGCCAGCATCTTTTGAATTATGTTTTACAAAATATACATTTGTCATCCCTATAGAGTGGTTTTGTGTCTCAACTAGATGCTGTATGGTTTATCTTTGACCAGTTCTCATATTCACTTTCTATAGTGCTTAGAAGCATCCCAATTTATTAATAAATTAGTGGTTGATGAGAACACAGCCTACCAGTCTTCAAGGACTTTTGCATATTGGTACAGTTAACCTAATGATTGAACCTGAAGTAGCCTTGTTATCAAGACAGATAACTTCCTAGGCAATCCTTCCACCTCAGCATCCCAAGTAGCTGGAACTTCAGGTGCATGCCACTATGCCCTGCTAAGTTTTAAAAACTTTATTGTAGAGATAAGGTTTCACTATGTTGCCCAGGCTAGCCTCTCTGTTTCCCTTGGTTTCAAATGTTTACTTCATACGCATGGAACTTTGGTGTAATTCTGACAGCCGTTTTTTTCTAAATTCAGGAAGTCCAATAATGCAGGAGAGATAAATGGTCATAGTGGAAGTTCTGCCTTTTGAGTTCTTTGTTTTGTTTGGTTGGTTTACTTAAACATTATTATCATACTTATTATATGAGACATCCTATGTGCTGGGCATACAGAAGAGAAAGAAAAAGATCTGTGTGCTACCCTCATGGCATTTACATTCTGGTAGTTGTTTACTCTCCTCCTCCTCCTTCTCCTCCTCCTCCTTCTTCATCTCTCCCCTCCCCCTTCCTTCCTTTTCTCCCCACTCACACACATAAGCATTTTTCTATAGTGAAAATACTATAGGAGGAATATATCTAGATACTTAGAGAGGAAGAAGGAATTCCTTCTTCATGGACAAGTCAGGTAGTGCATCCAAGAAAGATCATATCCGAGCTTGGAGTTGAAGGAGACATTTTCAAGAGCTGGGGATGGAAGGTTAAATTGAAGGACATTCCCAGAAGAATAGCATCAGCACATGGCACACTGTGGAAGTGCATGGTATATTCTGGGAAATGTGAGTGATTTAAGGTTTTCTGGACGTGACATTTTCACATTTTTTTAATGTAATGCTTTTTAGATGTCTTTTATTTTGTGTGTGTGATTTTGATTGATATAATGAGCACTTGGCAGGGTGAAGGACACAAAGAAGTAAACAGCACTGGGTTTTACCCTCAAGGGATTTAGTTTCACTGGAAAGTTATGGTGATAAGAATTGTCTGGGAAACAATATATATATTTAAAAATTTGACTTAAATTCCCCTGGTTAAAATATATTATTTTTATTGAAAGCATTATCCTAATAATTTTCTACACAATTTGTTATTTTTGTTTGTTTGTTTGCTTTTTTGAGTTGGAGTCTCACTCTGTCGCCCAGACTGGAGTGCAGTGGCCGCTCCCGGCCACCGCAGCCTTGACCTGCTGGGCTCCAGCGATCCTTCCGCCTCAGCCTCCCAAGTAGCCAGAATTACAGGCATGTGCTAGCACGCCTGGCTGATTTTTTTATTTATTGTAGAGATGAGGTCTCGCTGCCCAGGCGGGTCTCGAACCCGCGGGCTCAGGCAGTCCACTCACCTCAGCCTCCCAAAGGCACGGGATTACAGGCTGAGCCACCGAGCCTGGCACAACTTGTTATTTTGTAACAAAGTGGGAAAACATTTTAATCTCCATATATCTTTTAGAAGAGTTGTTTGGAAAGGCATTTAGGACCATGGGATACTAAAATTGTATATGGCATGTCTGCATGTATGGGTAAGTCAGTCTTGATTTCTTGTCTCAGGATGTTTCTGGTCGAGTGATGCTTCTCTGGGCATCCAGTCACTACTGAATGCCATTGCTTCTGTGACACCTTTCACTAAGAAGTAGTTTTTCTATTCATTCAATTCCCATAGCATATGTTGTTTGATGACAGCTTGTGTGTCTTTGTTAAGGTATTGTTATTAGTGTAGTTGTCTGATATCTTCTTCTACATTAGAGGCATTTTTAGACTGATTTTAAGCTCTATATCCCCCAAGTGCCTTTCACATTTTAGCCATTCTGTAATGATTTCTTGAGTGATTGGTTCTCCTTTTTTGGTGGATAGAATATTGAGAAACTGTCTTGGGAATAAAGAATATCAGATACTTTTTGAATAAATATTTTCTAAAATTTATATAATTTATTTATTTATTATAGAGTTGTGGGGGTACAAGTGAAGATTTACTACATAAGTTGGATGCATGCAGGTGAAGTATGAACTTCTAGGTGGCCCTCACTCTCCCTAGTAGTTGACCAGGTACCCTTTGTGTTTTCATATGCTCCCCACACTTTTCCTTCTCTTCCTCCCCTGGCAGTGCCCAGTGACTGGTGATCCCACCTTTGTGCTAATGTGACTAGTGTTCAGGGCCCACTAATGAGTGAGAACATGCTGTATTAATTTCTTTGTTTCTGAAGAAATCTTTATAAAATATTCTTTAGCTGTATTCACCCTCCCAAGAATCCGGTGAGATTATCTCTCACTTTACAGGTGAGGCAATATAGTCTTTAAAAAAAATTTTTTTTTTTGAGTTGGAATCTTACTCTGTCATCCAAGCTGGGGTGCAGTAGCATGCTCACGGCCACCACAACCTTGACCTGCTGGTTCAGATGATTTTGCCACTCAGCCAAAGTAGCTGGAACTATAGGCATGTGTCACTATGCCTGGCTAATTGCCCAGGCTGGTCTTGAACCCCTGGGCTCAGGCAATCTTCTCTCCTTGGCCTCCCAAAGTGCTGGGATTACAGGCATGAGCCACCACACCTGATTGGCAATTGAGTCTTAATGGGATCATAAAGCTCAGGGCTACGAGAAATGGGCCATTTCATCTATGATTAGTATTTGTCTGTGGAGGCAGTAGGGTAAGAGAATTGTATAGATAATTAAGCCCTATATAGATAGATAAGGCAGCAGTTTGCAGACAGATCCAGAGAGCATGCTTCTCTTGTTATTCACCCAGCTTTCTCTGAGCCTTTCACTTTTGAGAAGTTTGAGGAAAGAAGGAAAAGGGAAAGGAGCTACATAACAGAGTTATGTATGAGCTTATTTCATTTTTGTGAACAAGACAAAGATCTTACAGTAGCAGGTGAAAAAACAAAACAAGTGATTTAAGCAAAACAAAGTTGGGGAGGGGACGTTTATAACTTCCATACTTGGGAAATTCAAGAGTAAATATGGCCACAAATACTGCTGAATCCAGGGCCTCAGGCAGCACCTCCAGGCCTTTCTCTTTGGTTATTTCTTGGCTCTTCTTCTGTGTTGGCTCCATTGCCAGGTAAAATCCCTTCTACTAATAAAATAGCTGGAAGAGGAAATGTTTCCCTTTGCTGGTAGATAAAGCAAAAGTTTTATGATGACCTTTGACTGGGTCATAAGCCTATCCCTAACTGTATCTCTGTGGTCAGAAGAATGCCATGAGTAATCAGACTTGAGTCGCGAGAGGTGAAGTAGATAGAGTCATGTAGCTCAACTTGGGCCACTTAGAAAGTTTGACAAGATTGGGGAGTTCAGGATGGTATGACCATAGACTCACTTAGAGTGTCTGAGATGTGGTTTTCAAAAGGAACTTCAGGTACTTTACAAGAAGTAGGAATGGGTGCTGGGTGAACC